GAATAACTCCAGTTCTCTGGGTAGGGGAGATGTTAAGAGAGGTGGAAAAGACCCAGGGGTGGAGGGACACTGGGTATAAGACAGTAAACTATCTGTTAGGCTCAGGAGATAGCTACTCAAACACCCATGATGCCTGTCAGAGAGGACAGCTTGTTGGCATTTCTTAGAGAGTGCATACAAGGAGTGACAGAGGCTGAGTGTCTGAGGGCTGCCCAGAGCCCCATGGGCTCAGTCTGGTCTCTGGCCTATTCAAGATCTACTACAAAGAATGAAGAGATTTTGTGCCTGGAATTCATAGCTACTTCTTAGGCTAACTAACAAGAGTTTAACAGTCTCTGAAAATGAAAAGTGTTCCTGAAGGCTGGGATAGCTGTGCCCAGCTCAGAGCACTCTAGGGAACCAGCAAGTGGCCAAAACCACATACATAGAAGAGCTGAAATCCAGCGGCCCAGACAGTTTACCTGGTGAACAAAATACTTTCAAACTGCCTAAATCATACTAACAACTCAGAAGTTTCCATTAAAGTTGGCTTGAAATTTGTTTTTTGTTTTTGAGATAAGGTCTTACACAGCCCACGATGGCCTCAGACTCCTAATCTTCCTGCCGCCACACCTCCTGAATGCTGGGATTAGAAGCATGTGCCACAACACCTGGCTTCTAGATTCTTTTTTTAAAGATCTGGTGATTCTAGGCTCTGTCTCATGGGAGGGGCATGGCTTTCATAAGTTCCCACTCCTACTGAGTCCCTTGATCCTGAGTGTATGACCTACTCGCAGTAGGACTGAGCTTGTTCTACGGCTCCTCCTGAAGCAAGTTTATCAATAGGGTACACTATTTCTAAGACTTATCAAAAAATGGGAAAAAAAAACAATAGGTGGACTAAGAAGGTTGCATGTTTCAAGAAAAATGGGAGCGAGCCCGTTTCTTTATGGCTGTGAAGAATATCGCACACCAATTTCATCCATCATTTCCGTGGCCTGCCTGGTCCCTGAAGGCATTTTCGAAGGTGTGACCCGCCTGGACTTGCCTGTATCCTCAGCCGGGGGCAGAAGTTGGGATAGAGTCCTGTTTTTGGCACAGGCATTGGGCTGTTGGGAAAGAACCCATGTAGGTTAACTTGGGTAGCAGCACGGGCCTCCCGCCTACCATTACACTTGGTGATGAGCTGGTCCTTCTTGCTGGACTCCTGCAGGACCTTGTGCTTGACACTGGAAAGCCTGCACAGAGAAGTTAAAATGAAAGGGTAGGCAGGCAGAAGGCAGATGAGCCCCCAACCTCCATGCCCCTCCCTGTGGCCCACTCACGCTTTTTCAAAGGCCACCTTCTCCTTCTCCAGCTGCTTGGACAGTACCTCCACCTCTCCAAGGGCAAATTGCAACTTCTCCTCTTCCTTGGCCAAGAGGGCCTTGGTTTTGGCATGAGCAGCTTTCTCTTCCTGCAGGGGAGGTGGTTACCTTTTTATCCCAAGCCACCTTGAATCTCTTAGGATCCCTTAACTAACCCCCTTTCTCAGAGGTGCATTTTGAAGCCAGGGTGCAGGAAGACTTGGCCTCACTGCAAGGGCTAGAGGTCTTGAAAAGCCAGTGCTCAAGGGCTCTGCCCCACACAGGAAGCCTGGGAAATGGGAGAAAATTAGGAGTCTGCAGAGGCCATTACTCACCACCAGTTTCTTCTCTATTTCCTGGAACTCTTCTTTACTGACAAAATTTTCATCCTGGAGAACCATCTGCAACAGAACCCGGCTCAGGAAAGGACTGGGACTAGGGTGGGAGGGAGTGCCTCTAAGGACCAGGACAAATGATGTTCAGGACTTGAGGCCTCAGGACAGGAGAATTTACTTCTGCAGATTTACTGCAGCCCAGCTCTAAGTGCTGCCTGCAAGGATGGACCAGACTCATGGAGATGTCATAGGGGATAGCCCAAGGGACCCCTGGACCTAGCTTTAGTAAGTATCAGTATTTCTTTTAGAGAAAGTGACATTAATCCTGAGATCTGCCTGCTAAATATGATGAGTAGAGAAAAAGTGTTCCAGATGGTGGGAAAACACACGCCAAAGTGAGCTACCAGAGAAAGATTTGGGGACCTCCAGGGGACTGAAGGTAATTCATTGCCCATAGTAGACATTTTGTTGAAAGAGGCAGAGTGTGCCTCTCATAATGCCCCTCGAATCTAACTGCTCAGAAGGGAAGACACTGTCTAAAAATCATTAGAGTGGATGTGAAGCTAGTTTTATTTTTTGAGCTAGAGAAATCTCAACATTGTTACCAAAATAGAAAAAACAAAAACTATGCGCTCCTGCTGGCGAGCACCGAGGCAGCCTGTGACACCAATGCTTGGTACCCATTAGCTGAGGCTGGAAACAAATGGACACCGAAAACTTTGGAGACCCTTAAACCAGCACCGCGAAAGGCCAAATTTGTATTATACTGCATTTGACACCGGGGAGTGCGGCTTAAGGAATGATCTGGTTTCCGAGCCCAGGAGTCCCTGGAGAGTCAGTGAGGCTCTCCACTAAAAGTGGAGACACTAGGGTTCAATGAGTATCTATCAGTCCCTTCAGCAAGCAGGCAGAGTGAAGAACATTGCCTGATTGGGTTAGGTTCAGGAAGACACCCGATCTTCTTGGTTCCGCCCCTAGCAGGCAGGTGAGTCTCGCCTCCAGAATGACGCCCTCCTCAATGTATTCTAGCCACGCCCCTAATCCAAAGAGGGTCTGGCCCCGGCCCAGCCGGTGAGGCCTTTCCCTGAGCTCTGGCTGCATACCACATTCCTCAGCTGGTGAATCAGTTCCTCCTGGGATTCAATCACGTCCCGCAGTTGATCGAAGGCGAGACACACAGATCCGGAGCCCCCTTGCGACCACCCAAGGGGCGTCGCCATCTTTCGCCCCCGCCAGCTCGTTGGAAATGGCCTCCGGCTGCGAGGCTTACCGGTAGCTAGCCAATGAGAATAAGACGTCACAGAGCGCCCTGGCAACCGGGGGCGGGGACTTCCTTTGTTAGCCAGGCGGAGGCCCGGCTTCAAAAAAGCTTTTAGAGGCCAGGGCACGTGGCCCCGGGGGTAGAGGGCTTGCCCGGGAAAAGCTAGACCGAATTTCATTCCCAACAACGCAGCAACAAACGACTGGGTTTGGTAGCTTAAACTGGAAACCTCAGCATTCAGGAGGCTGGAAGACTGTGAGTTCAAGACCAGTCTGATCTACATAGAAAAGCCCTGCCTCAAAACAACAAAACCCACAAAAATACAGACGTTCAACTGAAAGAGTGCATGCTTTTTATTAGCTTGCATGGAAAGCCTGTAATCCCAGCACTAAGGAGATAAAAGCAAGAGAATAAGAAATTCAGAGTCATATTTTCATACATAACAAGTTCAATGCTAGCTTGGGAGAAGGCTACCTTGTCTCCAAAACCAAACCAAACCAAAACAAAAAATGAAAATCTTATTTAAAAAAAAATAAAATAAAACAAGCCAGGCATGGGCCTTTAATTCCTGCCCTCTGTGAGTTCAAGGACAGCAGAACTACATAGTGAGATTTTGTCTCAACAAACAAAAAACAAGGCAGAAAACAAGGCAGGCTATGGTGGCACATACCTTTAATTCCAGCAATTGGGAGGCAGAGGTGAGTGGGTCTCTGAGTTTGATGATAGCCTGGTCTACAGAGCAAGTTCAAGGATAGCCAGGGCTACAGAGAAACCCTACCTTGAACAACCCCCCCCCCTCAATAACCTGGAACTCATCCCCTTAGTATCATGTACTATTGTAAACACAAACTACTCCACAGTAACATCTTTAGTCCAAAGTGGCTCCAAGAGTGAGGATTGTGGACAAACGCTGAACAAAGAACAGCTGTAGGTTGTATTTTGTATATAAAATTGTTTAATGTTTATTTTGTTAAAGTACACTCATTCTAAATGCAATGGATCAGGTAACCAGATTTTTCAGCATTTTCACACGTGTCCTTCCTGACTCTGGTCACAGAACACTCCCGCCTCCAAACACTGAGTATGATGCAAATGTAGACTCAATGTATCACAGTTCTTGGTGACCACTGCATGAGGTATCAACAGTGCAGGCCCAAACATTAAGATGCATAGTAGCTGGCCTTTTCCCAAAATAAATACATTAGGATACCAATCTAATACCTTAAATGAATACCAATTAAATGCCAGCTCCTGTGAAGAGCAGTGCATGCAGAGACCATGGGTTGGTTGTGTGGCCAGTTGATGGGATCCCAAGGCGCCTCCTGGCAGCGTTAAGTTCTGAGGAGAGTGAAGATGAGAATGCAAACCGCACGTAGCTCAGCCAGCCTGCTGGGTCCTGGTTGTGGCAGGTTTGGCATGTCTTGTGTTTTCTAACAGTTCCCATAAGCATGCATAGTGATACTATTTTCTTACCAGTCACTTCTCCCAAGCTGTGTGGCCTGGAGCTGGTCAGTGAGGCTTTTGTGTCCTGGCTTGAGCAGATGAAGGAGGCTGTGGGTGCCTTCAAGCTCTAGTGCTCCTTAGAAGGATTTTCTGTCTCCCTCTCACTAAAGAGAGCACCTCATTTGCATGTCAGTTACCGGTTCTGTGTGAGCCCTGTTTCTTAACCTCACTGCCATCACACTCTCCATTCTGCAGTCTCAAACTGTGAGCCACACTGACAGCAAGAAAAGCTGTATCTAAAGAGTTTACACTGCCTGGAAATATCATAGAAGACATAGGCAAGAGTACAAAGCTTATTTTACCAACACGAACACAACGTATCTAAATTATAAGCAAGGAATTGAGTTTAACACGATTCTAGATAGTGCCTAGTAGATTAAAGTATCCTTCAACCAAAGCAAATATGGTTCTCTTGAGGAAACAAGATATGAGTACTGTAGTCATTGGTAATAAATAAAAAGGCTGTAAGAACCAGCAGGCTATAAGAACAGATACTCGATATGGCATTTAATGGAGCTGAGTTAATTGACTCTGGTGTCATCACCACAGATAATTCATCACTGCTATGAAATCCACAAACTATTCAAGGGCATTTATGGGAGGGCTTTACCCTGTTACATCAATTTCATGATGGTCCACTTTCTGGGCTGAGGCTGGGTGAGGAGAACTTTGCATTTTTTTCATGTCTAGGAACTTTCCATAAGATTGTTTGGTTCATGGGTACATTTTACAATAGATGAGTTTAGCTGTTTGTTTTGAGACAGGGTTTCACTATGAACTTGCAATGTAGAGCACACTGGTCTTGAACTCACAATAATCCATCTGCCTCTGCTTCCTGAGTGCTGGGTTTAAAGGGATGTTTCACCATGCCTGGCACATTTTACAAAGTAAATTCCCTGCTGCTCATAGGTTAAAGAGGTTCTCCAAAAATTTGCAAGTCTGGGGATGTAGCTTAGTAAACCAGTATGCACAAAGCCTTGGGTTCTTTTCCCAGCACCACAAAAGCCAGGAGTGACTCTAGCATTCAGGAGGCAGAGGCAGGAGGATTTCAGGCAGACAGTGATGATACACACCTTTAATCCCAGCACTCCACACTCGGGAGGCAGAGGCAGGCGGATCTTTGAGTTCAGGACCAGCCTGGTCTACAGAGCGAATTCCAGGAGAGCCAAGGATACACAGAAAAACCCTGTCTTGAAACAAACAAACAACAACAACAACAATAAGGGGATGGGTGTGGTGGAACATGCCTTTAGTCCCAGCACACGGGAGGTGGAGGCAGGCAGATCTGAGTTTGAGGCCAGCCTGGTTTACAAAGTGAGTTCCAGAGCAGCCAGGGCTAAACAGAGAAACCCTATCTAGAAAAACAAAAAAACAAAAACAAAAGCTCAGTTTTTAGCTGTATATTGACTTTGAGCCAGTCTGGGATACATGAGACCCTATCTAAAAAGAAAAGACAGGGAATATAAACCAGTTATCTACCGGTCCTTTCAAATTCAGTCTCATGATAATCTAGGTAGCTCAGGAACTCAGATCTGACATTGCCCTCCACAGGAAGGCCCAACCTCACAGCCAGGGCAATCAGTGACTTAGTTCTAATAAGAGCTGCTTTTTCTCCCTCTGAAGGATTTGTATTAAAGGGTCCTGTGTTTAAAAAAACCTGTATGAGTATTTTGTCTGCATGTATGTTTGTGCACCAGGTGCACTCAGTGCACCTGTGAAGGCCAGAAGAGGGAGCTAATCTTCTGGACCTGGAGTTACAGAGGTTGGGATCTTCCATGTGAATGTTGGGAATTGAACCTGAGTCCTTTGGAAGAACAGCCAGTGTCTTAACTACTAAGCATCTCTCCAGCCCTGGTCCTGCTTCTGAAAGACCAGTAGGGAAGCAGTCCTGAAGGGATGCCATCGAAAGGATGCAAGTTGGGGATAGAGGTGCCCTGGAGGACAGAGTTATCCAAGGGAAAATCTCTGTTTTACCAACCTGGCTAGAATCACCTGAGAAATAGGATGATCTCTCGCATTTTGTACTTCCTCACCTAGTCATATGAGCCAGGCCAACCATGTATCCTGTTTTGATTCATAAAAGAGGTAATACACCAGCTTCACAAATTGTGAGGAGGCAAAAGTTAAAAAAAAAAAAGTGAAAGCCATTGCTTTGTAGTAGGCACTCCATAAATATTGAAAGAATGAAAGATCACCTTGTATTAAAATTCGAAGGATACTGACTGCTAAGGCTAACATCAGCCCTCCATCGGCAGAGACAGGCTCCTCCCTTTGTGTCTGAACCTTCTCTTGGGTTTGACCACTGCACTTCTCTGCATACTTGTGTTCAGCTTACGACATACCATAATCAATGATGGTTTAAAGGGGAAGGACACAGGGAATGCTCTCTAGTTCAGGAATGGACTTGAGTGTCTACAGGGGTATTTGACCTTCCTTAGCCCTGTCTTCTGCTGCTCAACTGTCCATGGAACTGTTTCACAGCTCAACAGGGTTTTTATTTTCTGTTTTTTTCTTTTTGAGACAAGATCTGATTATATAACTTTGGCTGGTGGGGAACTTGCTATGTGGCCCAGGCTGGCCTAGAGCTCATAAAGATTGGCCTGCCTCTGCTTGTAAGTGTAGGATTAAAGGTGTGTGCCACCACATTCAGCCTGCTCAACAGGTTTTACTTTAAGACCCTCTGAAAGAGACAAAGGAACCTCACTGGGAATGGTAGCTCATGCCTGTAATTCCAGCACTTAGGAGGGTCATGGCAAATTCAAGGCCAGCTTGGACTATAGAGTGAGTTCCAGGTTAGCCTGGGCTACAGAATGAGCCCTTCTTTCAAAAAAGAAAGATAAACCACAAATCAGGCAGTTTGCTAATGCTCCTGCCTCAACAGAGACTGGAATAACACCAAACTATTGGCTAAACAGTTCAATTTCTCTACACTCTCCTTAGGGAGTGGAAAACAGAACACTAGGGGACGGTGGCTTTATATCAGAGAGAGGTATAATTCTGGGCAAACACCATCCAAACTCCGAAGTGCACTGGCTGAGACTAGAAATTTCTAGGGAGTGACTTTTGCTGCAGGCAGGATGAAAGAGGAAACACGGGTCTTCTCTGGGATGCCCTGATCTACATTCACAGAGGAGCTGAGTCCAAACTTTCCCATTCGTGGAACTTAGATGAATTATCCCTGCCCTGGGGGCCAGGCCTGGAAGAACTGGAGGGTGACAAGTGTGGCTCCATGTCCTGTAGCTCTGCCCAACAAAGATAGCAGATAGTAAGTGTTCATCATTTCCTAATGTGTATTATAAAATGGAATTTGCCATGTAAATAGTAACGATTAAGAAACCCCCATCCTGAGCCGGCCATTGTCCTTTCAGCCACCCCTCCGGAGGCCAATTAGCTTGGAAAGTTTTTCACAGTTTTCAAGTTTCAGTGACTCTGCTTTCTGCCGTAGTCGCTCATCTCTATATAACCCCGCCAAATTGGTCAGCTCTGACTCTGAAAGATACAAGTGAAGGTTCATTAACATTGAGTGCTTTCATTTCAGTATCTCTAGATTGATTCAAAAGGCCTTACTTTCATGCCACACTGCTCTACTCCATCCAGGCAATGCTGCTCCTCTATCCTAAAGGTATCTGATGGCCACTGCACCACGTGCTGAGGGTGAATGCTGCCTGGAACCCCCTCCCCCAGTCTGTGCCGTGACAAGGCTTTGTTCTTATCAACAAAACATTTGGCCCCAGGCTTAGAAAGCCTGAACAAGTGCAGAAAGGGGAGATTGCCATGGCGTTGCTGCAGTGATGATCTGATGGCAGTGGGGGCAGGGAGGATGGACTGGACCCTCATTGACTATTCCTGTCATCTGAACAAAGACAGCTGCTTATTCTTCCCTCAGCATTGCAGGCACCTAAGTCACACATGACTCGGGTCTACTCTGGTAGGTGGACATCTACAGAGGGTCAGGCTAGCAGCGTTCTTCATTCCCTCACCACATATAAGGTCCCTGACTCATACGGCTCTTTTAAAAGTGAAATCATCTCAGTCTAGTGACCTCTGTGTCCTTGACTAAATAAATCTCATTTTCTCCTCAGGATAGAGTAGGCCATTCTATTTTTAAATGGAATATAATATCTGCTGTGTTTCCCAACTCCACAGTGGTTGGTCTAAGTTTTTATTCTCTTTGTCTCTCTCTCTCTCTCTCTTTTTTTTGTGTGTGTGTTTTTTGTTTTGTTTTGTTTTGTTTTTATTCTCTTACAAGTTCCTTCTTCTTAGGGGGAACTCCTAAGATGCACCTTTGGAGACATGTCATGTGACCACATGTTAATACAGTAGCACGTTGGATGGGCTTCATGGCTTCTGAGAGCTGCCAACAGCAGACAGCTGTTAAAGGGCCATGGCTGTGGAAATGCTATTTTAATCATTTTGAAATATGCCTTCCATTCTTAATCACCTTGCTGACAGGTTTTATTTTTCTTGGTGGAACAAAACACACCTGTCTAATTAATCAGCAAACTCGAGGACACAGGAATTAGCCTTCAGTCAGAGAACAATGGGCATGGACCTCTGAATAAATGTCTATCATCACAAAATACTGCCTGGCATTTCTGCTCACAATGATCCTATTTATACCAAATAAAGACTCCAGGGTGAGGGATGGATGAGCATGACAACCCTCCCTGAAGAGATGGCACTGCAGACCTGGACTCCAGCCAGGTGTGGCTTGGCAGGCTGTGGGTCTCCCAGGCTGCAGAACAATGTGCTCTTACCCTTGGTGGGGTGCCCACAGTGTCTGCATACCAGGGCCTGCCTTGGCACAATCACAGGGCTCTGTGGAGGGTTGTGTGCTGCACCCACTAGGTGTTCAGCACTCCTTCCTAGGGCTTCTTTAGGAAGTCTGCCCAGGAGACTTGATCCTTTAGAGTCACAGCTACACCAAGAGTCCAGAACAGATTCTGTGGCTCTGCTCCCTGGGCAGTTTTGTGTATTGCCTCTTATGTGTCTCCTTCTCTGAAGTCCTCATCCAGAGGCATTAGAGACTAATGACACTTAGGGCTGTCTGTCTTGACAGCCACTGTAACAAGCTGATATGGATTGCTTTCACAAAGCTCACTGAAACCAGGTCAGACAACGCTGCTCAGGAGCAATGAAGAGGCACAAACCAAGTGACTACTCAAAGAATATAATACTTTTAACAATTGTGTTAATACTCAATAACTTAAAAAATATTTTAGGGGATGGAAAGATGGCTCAAAGATAAGAGCACTTGTTGCTCATAACTAGTTCCAGGGGACCCAATGCTCTCTTCTGACCTCTCCAGGCACCAAGCACACATGTGGTGCACAGATATATATGCAGACAAAAGATTCACATATAAAATAAAGTCAAACTTTTTTTTTTTTTTTTTTTTTTTTTTTTTCTGAGACAGGGTTTCTCTGTGTAGCTTTGGAGCCTATCCTGGCACCCGCTCTGGAGACCAGGCTGGCCTCGAACTCACAGAGATCTGCCTGCCTCTGCCTCCCAAGTGCTGGGATTAAAGGCGTGCGACACCAATGCCTGGCTTAAAGTGAAACTTTTAAAAATTATTTTATGTGTATGTCTGAGTGCCTCACATAGGGCATGTATGTACACCATGCACAGGCACACATGAGTCTGTGCGGTCAGAAGAGGGTGCTGGATCCTTTGGAACTGGAGTTAGAGTTGTAAGCCACCTTACATGGGTTCTGGGAACAGAGGCCTCTGCAGAGCAGTGAGTGCTCCTAACCACTGAGTCATCCCTCCAGCCCCAGGACTCAGTAACTTATAAATAAAATGAAAGAATGAAGTCTTTGGGAGGAGCAGGATCAAGAAAATACTTTTTCTCCTTAAAGGAGAAAACAAAACAGAGAAACAAAAAACAAACAAAAATGACCCAGTCCCATGGGACACTGCCCTTTAGTCTCTTGTGTGAAGCTGTACAAGTCTGGATTTCACCAGGAATAATGTATTACTGTGTTCCAGGCACTGTGTTAAACACACAACACACACACACACACACACACACACACACACACACACCCTACAGCCTCTAGGGGGAAATGAATTCTTTCCCCACTTCAAAGCCTGGATTCTACCCACTGTTATCCTGCTCAAGGGCTCAGAAAGGAGTGCTCACTCCAAGGAGAGAACTCATTCAGCTCTGTGGGACCAGGCCAGGAAGCAGCTCTTGACCGTCACTTGTATCCTGCCCAGCAGTGGCATAGCCACTTTCCCTGGCAGTGTGTTCAATATGCAGATATATCCATGAAAGAGTAAACAGGATGATTATCATCCATAGCAAATGATCACTCATAAAAAAATTACCCGAATTAGGCATTCCAGGGGAAAGCCAATAAAAGGATTAATAAAGATTTTTCAAAGACAATGGCTACCCTTGATAAAATTTCCATTTGGTATTTTGCCAAGAGTGAACTTTGCTCTCAAGTGAGTTTATTTTTACAACCTCAAAGTGCTAAATTTAACTTCCTGGATGCACTTGCTGCTGGATTCAGAGGGCAGATGCTGCCTGCTCTCAAATGGCACTTGGGTGGTGTGGAGACCCTACAGAACCATTGTGTTTAAATGCTAGCAGTAGGTTTCTTCAGGAGTATGTGCTGACAACCTCCATTCAGAACTGGTGAACTGCACACATCAGGCTCAGTCAATGTGTGTGTGTGTGTGTGTGTGTGTGTGTGTGTGTGTGTGTGTGTGTGTGTTTTAACTGAGGGTAGATCCTAAGGACTTTATGTATGCTGCTAGGCATAAGCTATAACACTGAGCCATACCCTCAGTTCTTTTAAAAACAAATAAACAGACATTTTGAGATGTGGCTTATTAAGTTGCCCAGGCTAGCCATGAACTCACTCTGTAGCCACAGCAGGCCCCTGAATACCTGATCCTCCTGCCTTGGTATCCCAAAAGACTTTGGAGGCCACAGATCTGAATAAGCCTCACCTGAATGTGAATGGGAACAAAAGCTCAGACACAACTCTTAGGGAAATCCTTCATCTTTCTGCATGGTCAGCATCTTAAGGCCACAGAGTAGAATATGATACACGTGCATGCTCATGTGGGAGCACACAAGTGTGTGTGCACACCTGTGCTTGTGTGTTTATGTGTGCAAGTTGCATGTGTATCTGTGTATGTGGTGTGTGTGTATGTGTGCTTGTGGAGGGCATCTGAAGAATGAAAAATGCAGATTTTCATGTAGTTCTTGCAGAAAGCAAACCATTCCTGTGCCCAACACAAAGGGGATGCTTAGACACATTACTGAGGCTTTCACCTGATTTAGATCCACGTAGGTTCATTTGTTTGTTTGAGACAGGGTTTCTCTGTGGCTTTGGAGGTTGTCCTGGAACTAGCTCTTGTAGACCAGGCTGGTCTCGAACTCACAGAGATTCGCCTGCCTCTGTGCCCCCCCTCCCCTGCCCTCAGTGCTGGTACTAAAGGCGTGTGCCACCACTGCCCAGCTACACAGGTTCTTGCTCCTAATTTTTTTCCTGGGGCAGGCCTTGCTGGGGAACATCTTTAAGCCCAGCTTAATCTCTGTGAGCTTGAGGCCAACCTGGACTAAACACCAAACTCTTTCTCAATTTCTTTTTCTTTCTTTTTTTAAAAAAATTTCCCTTTATGCCAGAACTGTGTGAGTTCGAGACCAGCCTGGTCTACAAGAGCTAGTTCCAGGACAGCCTCCAAAGCCACAGAGAAACCCTGCTTACACACACACACAAAAATTCCCTTTATTTATTTTTGTGTGTGTGCACCCTCATGCATGTACCTTAACATGTATGTGGCTGTCATGTATGAGAGCAACTTTTGGGAGTCAGTTCTCTCTTTTCTTTTCTTGGTTTTTTCAGACAGGGTTTCTCTGTGGCTTTGGAGGCTGTCCTGGAACTAGCTCTTGTAGACCAGGCTGGTCTCGAACTCAGAGATCCACCGGCCTCTGCCTCCCAAGTGCTTGGATTAAAGGCATGCGCCACCACCGCCCAGCCAGTTCTCTCTTTCTACTTCTGGCTCCTGCTTTGCACTGGAGTCAGGCTTGGTGTCAATTGCCTTTACCTACTGACCCACCTCACTGGCCTGCTTTTTTTTTTTTTTTTTTTTTCCCAAGACAGAGTCTTACTATGTAGTGCAGTCTGACCTTATACTCAAAATCTTCCTATCTCTTTCTCCCAAGTGCTGAGATCACAGGCCTATACCACCTCACCCAGTCCTTTCCCGATTTCTAAAAGACAAAATCTAATTTAAACAGCCTGGTCTGCATAGTTAGTTCCAGGACAGCCAGAGCTACACAGTGAGACTGTCTCAAAATAAAATAAAATAAAATAAAATAAAAAAATAAAAAATAAAAAAACCCAAGCAGCCAAACAAAACTAATTTAACAACGAGGTAGGTAAAAGCAACTTTATCCTGTTTAACTGCCCCTTATTTGAGAGGGTAGCTAAGCTTTGCCCTGTAGAAATAGAGGGCAGAGGCAAAGCCCCTGAGGGAGAAGGATAAGATGTCAGCACTGATCCGTTACATTCCTCATCAGTGCACTGTTTTCCAGTATGAGGGTATCATGTGTTGAACACCTGTTCTCAAGCCAGGACTCTGCCCGAAGCCTAGGACACAGAATTAGTAAGACAGTCTGCTCCTTAGGGCCAGCAGTCCTGCAGACGGAACCTGCATGCACCTATGGACCACTAATGCTATTGATCAGTACTGTGCTAGCAGGAAGAGCAAAGGGCTTTAAGAACACAAAGGAAGGGCAGGTTAACTCAGTGCGGGTAGGAGTACATGACGGGGCAGCAAGAGCTTAGAAGCACTGTGACCAAAGAACTAATTTTATCAGTTCACATTTAGAGACGTCCAGTAATAAAGCTTAAAAGATGAGTTATAGTTTGCTTTGAAAAAAAAATCAACAAAGCCCAGTTTGCAAAGCCAAGATGCAGTTACTCTGTGTGTGTGTGTGTATACTGTATGTGGGGGCAGTATACACATTGGGATTTAAAATGAAACTACTGGCTGAGATAGGGCTACTACTGCTGCCAGCACTCCCCAGTAACAACCAGAGCTGTAAGCCAAGTGGGAGACATTGTCTCCTGTGAGGGAAAGAGAAGAAAGATCTGTTTATATTCATCCTACTGAAAAGCCAGACCCAGGAGGTCACTCTTCTTCTACGTACCCACAAGCAACAAGAAGTAAGGGGACACCAGACTCCATGCTACCAACTTCTTCTTCTTTTGTTTTGTTTTTCGAGACAGGGTCTCTCTGTGTAGCTCTGGTTGTCCAGGAACTCACAGAGATCGGCCTGCCTCTACCTCTGCCTCCTCAGAGCTGGGATAAAAGACATGCACCACCACTGTTTGGCTCATGCCAGCAACTTCTAAACTTCTGATTTGACTCCATAAGGGAGGCTGGCTCAATCAGATTTCTCTCTAGGAAATGTGGGATTTAGGGATTGTGAAGAAAACCAGATAGCACTGAGAACTTCATAATGAAGTTGAGATGCAAAATGGGTCCAGTGACTGGTGAGGCTAGGGACCTTAGGACATCGACAAGAAGAGCAAGAATTCCCACAGGGTGTCCTGCAGTAAAATGGGAAAGCTACTGCATACGTGTAATCTAAGTCCTCAGGAAGATCAAAAATCTAGGGCTACATAGCAGCAGCCTATAGGCAGAGACAGGCAGATCTCTGAGACCAGCTTGACCCATAGCTAGGGCTATGTAGTAATTCCACTCCTCATGGGGAGCAGGTGGCAGAGAGAAGAAAATACAATAGGAGAATACAAAGATACCCAAGTTTCTAAGTTTTCCAATCCTAGTCAAATTCTTTGCTGTAATATCTGAGTGGGTGTTTGTCCTCTGTCTCTGCTCACCAGCAGAGGACAGGGGTCAGGAGGCTGGGCAGACCTCATGACCGCCTGCTTGGCCTTACTTACTTTGCTGTTTCTCCTTCCAACAGCTTGTTTGTATGTAATCAATGTAATCTTTCTCTATTGTTTTCTCGAGGTCACGAAGAGAAGCTCCTCTGTAGGCCTTGTCAAAGTTTTTATCCACAAAGTAAGGCACCTGCAGGTTCTGCGTTTCTCTAGAAATGGTGTAGCCCAGGGTTCTGAAACAGAGAGTGGCTCTCATCAGCCTGTGCTACCTGACAATCTTACTCTTGACTGGCTTATAAACATGATTGCCATCGTCTCCCAACATTTGTTAATCAACTAGTGAAATAGAACACAGGCATCACTATAGGCATCAAGTAAGCAATCTGACAATTACCAATGTAGCTTACAGTTTATTCTTTCCAAAGACTCACCTTTCTTTCTTCGATTTTTTTTTTTTTTTGGTAAGGTGTATCAGAAAAGGGTACCTGATCCCATAGGACTCCAGTTACAGATGGCTGTGAGCTGCCATGTGGATGCTGAGAATTAAACTCAGAACCTCTGGAAGAACAGTCCAGATGCTGCTCTTACCTGCAGCATCTCTCTAGCCCAAGACTTTCTAGCCCTTTCTTCTTTTTTTCTTTTTTGATTTTTCGAGACAGGGTTTCTCTGTGTAGATTTGGAGCCTATCCTGGCACTCATTCTGTAGACCAGGATGGCCTCGAACTTACAGAGATCCGATCCGTCTGCCTCTGCCTCCCGAGTGTTGGGATTAAAGGCGTGAGCCACCAATGCCCGGCAAGGCTTACCTTTCTGACATGGCTTTCTGTGTGAAAAGTAGATGACTAATCCTTTAAAAGCTTGTTTTGACAGTTGTGTATGTGATTCAGTTGGTATAATGCTTGCCTAGCATATATAAAGCCCTGGGATTTTCCCCACCCAAATAAAACTAGGAGTAGTGGCACTCCCCTGTAATCCCTGCACTTGAGAGAAAGAAGCAGGAGGATCAGAAGTTCAAGATCATCCTCAGCTACAATGATGAGTTCAAGTCTAGTCTTGGCTACATGAGACTATGTCTCAAACAAAGTAATTCAGGATGTGTGTGTGGCAGCGGGGAAATGGCTCAGCAAGCAAAGGTTATAGCCATTAAGCCCAAGGACCTCAGTTTGGTAGCCAGAGCCCATGTCGAAAGCCAGACAAAGTGCATGCACCTATAACCTCATACTTCTCCAGCAAGGTAGGAAGTAGACAACAGAGTTGGCTGGAAGCATATAGCCCAGCAACCTGGAATATGAAACTGAGTAGCAGAAACAAGGGAGATCTGCCTTAGTAAGGTAGAAGGCATAAACCAGCTCCCAGAAGCTGTCCTCTGATCACACAGGCACTAGCAAGCCCCCCACACATTTATTTTTTGTTTTCTGAGACATGGTCTCACTTTATATCCCTGGCTGAACTGGAACTTGCCGGTCTTGAACATATGGAGACAGGCCTACCTCTGTTTCCCACGTGCTGGGATTAAAAGCATGTGCCACCACACCCAGCCTTATTTATTTGTTTTGTACATATGTGAGTGCAGGTGTGTGCAGAGCCTAGCACATGTGTGGAAGTTAGAGGAGAACTTGAGAGACTGCATTCTCTCTTTCTACAAGATGGGTCCTGGGGATCAGCCTCAGGTCCACCAGGCTTGGCAGCAAGTACTGCCACTGTGCTAGCCATCTTATTGGCTTCACAGTCACCTATGCATAAAAAAACAAACAAATGCCTAAGAATTCCTGGATACTTCAAAAAACAAAAAGCCAGATCTAGTGGTATACACATGCATACCTAGCACTTAGCTCTGGTGGACATATCTTGTAGTCCTAGCACTCAGAAGCTGGGAGCAAGAGAACCAAACATATGAGACCTGCCTGAGCTACATAGCAAGATCTACTCCCCAAAACAAAGTAAACTAATTAATTTCTGCTTTGGGAGGTTGAGGCAGGAAGATTGCTGTGAATCTGAGGCCAGCTAGACTACACAGTGAGAGATTCTCAAAAAACAAAACAAAACAAAAACAAAACTGAAGTTTATTTCTCTTTCTCTCTTCTTTCTTTTGGTCTTGGAACTCACTGTGTAGACAGGATGACCTGGAATTTATAGAGCTCCACCGGCTTCTGCCTCTGAGGTGCTGGGATGAAAAGGGTGCACCACCATGTCCAGCTTGAGGTTAACTTTTCTAACAGGTCTGAATGTGTTACCAGCTGATGCTCTTGAGTCTTCACTTAAGGGACCAAACTTTGATCAAAGCAATTAAATGCACTAAGAGGAAAATTTAAAAAAAAAAAAGATTCCTAATCTGTATTTATATATAACCTACATGCCTCAACAAGCATCATAACAAATTTTGTCCTCAGCAAAAGCAAAGAAACAAAATAGCATAGTTTGACTCTATATCCTTATCAATAACAAATGTCCTTCTTGTAATTGTTTTTTTTTTTTTTTTTTTTTTTAAAGACAGAGTTTCTCTGCATAATAGCTCTGGCTGTCCTGAAACTCACTCTGTAGACCAGGCTGGTCCTGAACTCAGAGATCCTTCTGCCTCTGAGTGCTGGGATTAAAGGCATGCTCCACTCCTCCTTGTAATTTTTATTAATCTTAATTTTATGTGCATTTTGACTGCTTGAATGTCTGTGAACCGTCTGCAGGATGTATGGTGACTGCAGAGGCCAGAAGAGGGCATCAGATCCCCTAGAACTGAAGTTGTGACCCACCACGTGAGTGCTTGGAATTAAACCTGGGTCTTTTGCAAGAACAGCTAATGCTGCTCTGAGCCATCTCTCCAGTCCTTCCTTTCAATTAGAAACATTGAAAAAAAAAATCACTAGGTCCCAGTCACTACCTAGCATTCCAAACCCACCCATCACAACCTGCCCTCTCTCGCTTCCCTCTTCTTCCTCTTCTCTTTCCCTCTCCTCCCCATCCCACCTCTCTCTTCTCTGACTCTCTCTCTCACTGTAGCTCATGCTGGCCTGGAATCACAGCAATCCTCTGTCCCTGCCTCTTCAATGCTGGACTGGAGGTATGAGCAACCATTTCTGTTGTCATCGGACTTCTTCCTGATTTCACCATGTGAGAAAGATTTATTAGCAATCTCAAATTATTCCTCTGGTCCTTGTACACCAATCCTGACTATTTTGCAGTTGACCAGAGGGTGTCACTATGCAACAAAATAATTCCTCTCCTAAGGTATAAGCAGCAGTTACTCACTGAGTACATTATTCCTGCTTGGCTGTTCCTTTTGGTTTAGTTTAGTTGTTTTCAAGTACCTAAATTTAGTACCCCCACAGAAAACACTAGAGAAACTTTGAATGATTCATGATTCTTCCTTAAAACATAAGATCAGCATTTTCTACAGTGGAAGGTGAAATGAAATATCAACATGAATCAGCAAAAGCCTTAGTCTTTCCTCCTCCTCCTCCTCTCTCTCCTCTTCCTCTTCCTCCTCCTCTCCTTCCTCTTCCTCCTCCTCTTCTTCTTCTAATTTGTGTTTTTCAAGACAGGATTTCTCTGTGTAGCTCTGGCTGTCCTGGAAGTCTCACTCTGGAGACCAGGCTGGCCTCTAACTCACAGAGATCCACCTGCCTCTGCCTCCCAAGTGCTGAGATTAAAGGGGTGCACCCCCTCCCCGTCTTATTTTGTGTGTGCCACCACTGCCAGGCCAAGCCTTTCATCCTTAAGACTGTTAAAAAGGAAAAATTAGAAATAGTCACTTACGATTTATAGAATAGACTATATGGGGGATTAGCAGCCAGCAGCTGAGTAATGACAGAAATAACCACAATCACCAGAACTGGAAGCAACTGGACAAATGCGGAATATGGAGTCTGTGAAAGAAAACAAGGAAGTATCTGAGAACAGACATCCCAAAGAAAATGAAGACTATTAACGCACTGCACAGAACATCCACAAAGCCAAAAAGGCTGGGTGTCAGCTTAGAACCAAACAGCTCATATTCTCTCTGCTGAGAGGCTAAAGGAAGCCCCTCCAACTTGGACTGTCAGTAATCCTGCTGCCTCTTATATCTCTAGGTAATCCTGCCAGACACAGATGGAGCTCCTGCAGTGGCTAGTGTTAAGCCACAGCTGTCCAAAATTGATGATATCCAACTGTGTCAGCGATGACCACATTCTCCCTTGACAATGTGGGGTCGAGGTTCATCATACTCCTTCATTGAGTATTGTCTGGAGAAAGAGCACATTCTCTCAGGGCTGTGAACCAGTCACAGGCATAGTATTTGTTTGCTTTTGTTGTTTTTGAATATGTACATCAGTGTTTAGCCACCATGATAGCTCTTAAGTCAGGTGCTACCAAGCCTGTAAACCTGAGTCTGATCCCAGCAGAGCTGCCTTTTGAGCTTCCTGTGAGACTCCTGATTTCTTACTTAACACCCCTTTTAGTTCTGAATATTTAGAAAGGGATTCTTATTTTTCTTTTCTTTCTTTTTTTGAGACAGGGTTTCTCTGTGTGGCTTTGGAGCCTATCCTGGCACTTGCTCTGTAGGCCAGGCTGGCCTCGAATTCACAGAGATCTGCCTGCCTCTGAATCCTGAGTGCTGGGATTAAAGGCGTGCGCTGCCACTGCCTGTGCAGGATTCTTGTTTTCTGTAGTAAAGAAAAGTTCGATTAAGCCAGCCGCAGAAGCTGGACATGGTATATGACTTTAGAAAGAGGCAGGTGGATCTCTGTGAGCTCCAGGCCAGTCTGGTTCACATAGTGAGCTGCAGGCCAGCCAGAGCTACATAGAGAGAACCTGTCTAAAACAAAAAGAACTGAAAAAAGAAAGGAGAGAAGGAGAGAGAGAGAGAGAGAGAGAGAGAGAGAGAGGGCAGCCTTACAGGGAAACTGGGACCCTAGGGCAGCCTTACAGGGAAACTGGGACCCTAGGAAAATACAAAAAAGGAATCAGGGATGGAGGATTACCAACATTCTGGCTCATTTGGGCCACTTATCCAGCTCTTTTTATCATTGCTTAAAGTACATTTTACCAACACAGCTCAATTGCACTTCTAGGATTGATTATATACCACAGAAGCAGGCTTGATACAGCCATAGGAGGAGCAGGCTCAGTATGACCGTGTATATAATCTTGACCATACACGCACCTGAGGTTTGTCCTCTTCCTCTCTTTTGTGTGTCTGTGTCCTCTCATGTCGGTGCCGTCTGTGATAATAGTGACTGTCATCTGTCACATTTGAGAACATATGAATATTTCCTGGAAAACAGACATTAGAGAGAGGGAGGGAGGGGGGAGAGAGAGAACTTTTATGAGATGGCAATTTCTTTTTGGTCCTTTTCAAAGTCTTTTCCCCCAGGAGGCTAAAGACAGGGCATCTGCCTATCTGAGCCAGCAGAAAAAGAAGGCAGTAGGTGAGCCAAGAGGCCCAGCTGGGCATGGCACGTGCCAGGCTCTCCTGACTTCATGGACTAGTCCTTTGCAAGTTTATGGAAGAAAACTCCAAAAGGCCAGAGGACAGCATTTTGGTCATGAATCCTATCTGACATACTTATGTCTGCTTCTGTGTCCAGTGTTAGTCACTAGCATCTTTTTTACTTTTATGTGCATTGGTTTTTTTGTCTGCATGTATGTCTGTGTGAGGGTGTCAGATCTTGGAGTTACAGATAGGTGTGAGTTGCCATGTGGGTGCTGGGAACTGAATCCAGGTCCTCTGGAAGAACAATCAGTGATTTTAACAGCTGAGTCATCTCTCCAGCCTAGTCACTAGCATCTTTAATAATCACTTATAAAACTCAATTTATAGCTAGGCAGTAGTGCTACATGCCTTTAATCCCAGGACTCGGGAGGCAGAGGCAGGCAGATCTCTGTAAGTTTGAGGCCAGCCTGGTCTCCAGAGTGAGTTCTAGGACAGCTGGGGCTGTTACACAGAAAAAAAAACCCTCTCTCTCGAAAAAAAAATTCAATTTATAGGTGGGGTGTAGCTTAGCATGCCTAGTATGTTGGAGGCTCTGGCTGCATCCCTAGCAACACAAAAAAATTAACTTATTTTCTTGGCACTGAATTTTCTCAAATTCTGGCTCTCTGTGATATACTTCCCAGGGTTCTATTTTGTTGCACACATTGACTGTAAAGAAAATGGGTTTCACTGTGATTTTTAAAAAGATTTAGTTTTATGTATATGGGTATGTGTGGACACGTGGATCAAGATTCACTGGACTAGGCTCAAAATAGGTTAACATAATTTTATTTGGGAAGAAGGCACTTACACAAGAAACAGATGACCGCTGCAGGTTCCTACTCCAAGGATCCACCCAAGGATCCAAGGCAGCTTGTACGGGGTCCTGACCCTAGACCTAATCCTACTCTAGGTCACTGCCGCACCTAGAGTGCGGGACACAGGGGTGGAATGTGTGTGAATATCTCACTACAGGTATGGGGTGTTTGAAGGAGAATGGCTCCCACAGGTTTATACATTTGAATGTTTTATCCCTAGTTAGTGGAACTGTCTGGGAAAGATTAGGAGGTGTGGCCTTGTTGGAGTAGCTGTGGTCTTGTTGGAGGAGTTTGTCAGTGGGGTTGGGCTCTGAGGTTTCAAAGCCCACACCAGGTTCACTCTATCTCTCTCTGACTGCTGCCTGTGGATCAGATGTAAAGCTCTCAACTACTGCTCTATTACCATGCCTGTTTGCTTCCCATTATGATAACAGACTAAGACTCTGAAACTATAAGCAAGTCCCTAATTAAACACTTTATCCTGTAAGAGTTGTCTTTTCCATGTAGCTAGACATGGTGTTTTGCCT